AAACCTAGTATAATGGGTAAATTTAAAACAAAAGGTTACCTAATGCTATAATGAGTAAACTTTTCAAAGTACAATGTTCTAATAAAAACTAGTTTGAAAGTATATTGCTGTAATAAATAAAACTGAAAGTACAATGCTATAATAAAGAAATTTATGAAAGTAGATTGCTATTTTGTGCATTTTGCCCTATATTTATTTATACAAAACCTGACTAAAAAATAACAAACTAAAACTATGAACAAATTAAAACTAACGAATTCATACAATTTAATGTTCAAATTCATACAATCTAACTACTGGGAGGAGGGAGAGGGGGGAAAACATATCAAACTGTCGCATAAACGCAACAAAATGCTCTGATCTGTTCGGTTAATGCAACAACATGTCTGGCCTGTTGGGCCTCCAAATCTGCCATACTCTTCCATTCGGCCTCCATCTCGGCCTGATGGTGTTCCTCTGCAGCCGCGCCTCCTTGTCTACCCTTGCCAACTTCTCTCTCAACTCCGTTATCTATAAATATTCAATATTCGACAAAATCAGTAATTTGTTTACAATGAAAGTAATGAGAAAGTATATAACAATATAACAAACATACATCTGCCTGAATCGTATGATCTCCTGGTGCTACTGCTACAACTACCCGTCATAGCATAAGAGAGGTCCTGGGAATCCTGAAACAAAAAAATGTGGCCCTTCCTCCGTCCTCCGACACTCTGCTCCCAAAGAGATGCCTCATCAGGGGGAGGAGTATCGATACAAGACTGTGACTCATCCCTAAGCGATAGAAATCGTTCTTATGGTTCACAAAAACAAAAACGGGTGATGTTATATATGTAAAAATTTCAGCAGCTTAACGGCTGTAAATCAAACATATTCAATGCCTGTTTTTAACATTTAAATCATTCTAATTACCAATGGTAGTCACATTCTCAACCTATCTATCTAGCCTAATGTCAACCCAACATTGACTGCCCAAACTAATAACATCAATATATTTATTAAAATATGTTACTTTAAACCTACCAAACGTATCTATAAACCGAAGTAATGGTTTTAGAAAACTTACAGAATACCTAGCAGTTTTAGGGTAACATAAGTGAGGAGGATTGGTAGTCGGACCGGATGAACCTTGATCAAACTTTCAGTTCGTGCAGTGAGTGCACTCAAACACCTCAGTAGCAGTCGGCTCAAGATCCATTACCTGTGTTTACATTAGACAATTAGGTTAAGTTGTTAGTATACATAGAAAACGAATTACATATTAAAAAAAGATTATATACTCACCATCTTGTCTCGATGTTGTGCAGTACTGATTGATCCCCCGGTATGCCTAGATGACACCCCTTCAAACTTTGTGTTCCGATTGGTCTTATTGATCCTGGATGTCCTTTCTAAGGCTCGGTATTTCAAGCCTGTTAAAAACAGAACACATACATAAGTCGGTACTATGAATAGGCATAAATCATCACATTACAATTACCATGCGAAAGAACAGGTCCACATATGAGCATACAATAGCCAATGGAAGCACATTGCACAACTGCATATAATAAATAAGAGAACAAGCATATCTGCATATGATCAGATAAACCAATCATAGTGCACATAAACAAAAAGATAAGCTCTTTTCACTCGAAAAGGTTACTCTAGGTATTTAAAATCCAGGGTCATGAAATTACAAAAAATAGGGCTAAAAAGGTCATTACAGTTAAAGATGTGTTAAAAGAGTGGAGTCAAAATTTTATTTCCCACCGACAATTTCCCAAAATCTAAAAGACAAACAAGTTGAGGTTGGTAATAAAAAAAAAAAAAAACATTTGACCAGTCAAATTGCAGATCGAGGGTACTTCATCTCAACTTCCATAGCAAGAAACATGTTGATATTGGTTTATAAGTATTTCCAGTTAATGATGAATCAAGTTCTTTTAAACAAGCCCATCGATGACTACAAGCATTAACATCGACGACCATGAAGTTATCTTCATCAACTATCTTCTCTTATTTTCATTTTTTATGGTTTTCTCCGAACCTGACCCTATATATATATATATACACACACACACACACACACACACACATACACACACTAGTAGCGTGCTCGTGTAATGTATCGGGACAACATGGTGTGAAATTTTATTATAAATGGAAAATGAAAAGACCTCAGACATTTAACTCAGTTGGCAAATGATCAAAATGATTTTGCCCAAATATACAACAAGTTAAGATTTAAATTGTACATAATACAAGTTTGAACCCCTCCTAATCAAATATTTAAAAAAAAATCTTAAATTTCACTTCTTATTATTAACAATCAAACCACTTAATTTACTTTAATATTTTTTATTTTTTAAAATAAATACTCACAAAAGTGGGTGCGAATCTTTTTGAAAGTCCTATTACATCCAAAACTGTTGATTACATTGCATAAAAGAGATAGCAGAAAATATATGTTAAGAATAAAAATGAGCTAAACCTAAAATGATTAACATGCTAAAACTAAACCTAAACCATTAATAATTTGAACCTAAAACCAAATAATTAATAGTTTGAACTTAAATAATAACTATAATTTTACACAAATCCTACACACATGTAAATTTAGGCCATGTTCAGAATCTCAAGTTTAATATGCTAATTGACGACGATGAGTGGGCGTGGGTCCGGTGTTAAAAAGAAAGCAAATAGGACAAAGGAGAGCGATTAGAGGAAGCAGTCTCAGTCACGGAATAAATACTGATAAAAGAGACGCTTATGACGCTTTCCACCGACTCATCATCGTCACCGGTGCACCATCTTCAAAACTCCCATCTTTCCTCAACTACTGCAACTCAATCGCTGCCGATTTCATCTCATCTCATCTCATCATACGTGTAAACATCCTTCACGATCTATCCTAATTTCCCTTTTCATCCCGCAAGTTATAGTGATTTGATGCAATGTAAAACCCTAACTTTCTTCATCATGTCTAAGATTCTTGAAATGAGGAGAATATTCTTTCAGCTTTACGTTTGGTTGTGTTATTGCATGTTGGAGGTTTTAATTTTATAATGCTCCATTTTTATTGACATTATTTGTTTGGTTTAACAGAGTGATTTCTAAATTTCTTGCGACGTGCTGTAGTTTGCAGCAGGTAATTCTCCTTTCGTTAGTTGTTTTTCTTTTAGGCTTACAAGTTACTACAGTTTACATTGTATGTAAGATTTCTTTTTCGTTCTTCAATTCTCATTATTTGTTATTATTTTTAATTTCATATAATCTGTCAAGAATTTTTCATCAGAAGTTGTATCAGCGATGTAACGCAAATCATTCACATCCATCTTACTGGAAATTGGTATCATCTGAGGGAACTGTTCAGTTACTGCAGTTGTGAACTACGGATGGCCATTTGAACAGGGTTAGAAAGTAAATAGAAGAAAGAGAATAGGGAGATGATTAATATGTATGGAACAAAGGGTCACTCTGTTTAGATTCCCTTGGGGATTTAAAGAAGCCATACTTTAGTAATACTAACAATTATGAATATTTCTATATCATGTCTGATCAATGCTGATTGCAACCTAATTTATTTGTGACTTCTATGAGAAAACCCCACTTAAAATGTCATGACCAAAGCTCCATCATCCATAGAATGAACCATTTCTCGTACAACCATTTGGTGGGCAGGGCAATCTGCGCATGTATAGTCCAATCGCAATGTAAACAACTTTTCTTTAGAAACGATCTCAGGAAGAAAGACAGACAGCCTATCACCAAGGATTTCAAACAGAAAGAAGAGGGATTAACAACTTTGGGAATCAAGATTAGACAGGTTGAAGCGTAAGTTCTACCATACTAGAAAAAAATGCAGATAAAAACTCTTACCAACTATATCCCAACATCCTAAACAAATGGCTGGACCATTGCCACAATCATAGCTCAGGTCCTTAACAGCAGCACTATTATCAGGATCATTATCGTCATGCTTGGCCAAGAATAGGATCAATGACATCCAAAAGATGGGAATTATGAGATTCTCAGAAGCATCAATCAAGAAAACATTTGGTTGTTTGAGAAATAAGTTTAGGCTTGACCAACAACCTATTCTCTTCTAACAAATATGTTGTGTTTTTGAATTTCATTAAGCCGCTTTATACTTCTTTTTTTCTTGATAAGCTTTCCTCTTGAAGAGTAAGATTTGAATAAGAAATAACTTTTTTCTTAGAAGAGCTACTATTAGAATAACCATGTTGTAAAATAGATTCGACATCCACAGAAGCTTTTTGAGCCTTATTCAAATCTGTTTGAATGGCTGCCAAAAAATATTTGTATACCATGCTTTTAACTTCCTTTTCCAAACCACAAGTCATTTATGCAGAAGAACAAATGGGGTAGCGTCGGGGTTAGCAACCCAGTATAGATCAATGAAGATATAAAATTCAAAATGGGGTAAGCCAAGCAGTTGTGAAAGAGAAAAGAGACCGGAAACTGAACACGACAATTTAAGCTGATATGCATGGTGGGGCAGTGATAAAAGAAAACTCTATCTACTTGAATCAGCGAGGACTTCAATCAACTCTAGATCAGATCCATCCTTGTGTTTATAGCACCAAGTGTAAGAATCTTCCTCATAACCATAATCTAGAAGACCAACTCAATGTATGAACAGATAAAAATCCGAAGCAACTATGTTATTGACAGATAACTCAAAAGCAATATAAGAGTCGCTCCATCACCCAAGTAGTGTCCTGCCAGTTCCAAAATATAGAACTGTCAAGTTAGAAACAAAATCACCATTGAACATCTTTCAGATTTTCTTTTATTTCTGTTGAAAAAGCAATGTTATCCACTTTAGACACATTTGAAGCAGGAACAAGAAGAGTCGGAGAATTATCTTGCACGTAATCTTTAAGTCTGCAACTATAAAGAGGTTAATCATGGACCAAAGCAGTAAAGGGTGACCTTGGTCCATCAATGTCTCTTGGGCTTCCAAGGTTCAAGAGGTGAGCCTTGTACAGCCTTTCACCTAATTTTAGGAAGAGGCTGTTTGAATGACTTAAACCCAAGGTCGCCTGCTCACTTTCCAGCCACAAAGGAGCTACCTTAGCTATTGCTCCTAGGCTCCCCACTATGCAGCAAATCAGTAGCAGGAATGGAAATATTAGAATCCATATAGTTAGAAAAATCATTTAGTTCTTTGATCTCGCAAAAATTGCTTCAGGGGGATCTTCTAGGAAATTGCAGCCGTAGTCAATTAAAAGAGCATATTTACCAGCAGAAAACCGTTAATTTTTTGTCTTTTAACCATAGATGGTTTCTCTTTATTATTCCCAGTAAAAGAAAATCATTCACCAACATATATCTCTTAGAATGTCCTCAATTAGTTTCATTCTCTTTAACACTTCAGGGGTAATATAACTCACAGGATTAGTAATATTTTCAGAATGACTTGTTGCAAAATAACATAAAAACTCTGTTGCCTTTTTGGGCAAAAATATAAGGCCACCATCATTTGAGTTTATTCTGAGGTTTTTTTTGGCTTTTATTGGACACCTAGGGCATTGAGAAATCATATACTGAAGTACATGCAATAGTTACTCTTTATTAATTTCAAATTTGAGCTTGTGCTCAAATTCAACCAATCTCATCTTGGTTTTGTGGTTTGATATAGAAGATCAGGGTGATGTTGAAACACTGTACCATACATATCAGTGAAGTCCTATTACTAATAATTCACTTAATATGTAAAATATGGCAGTTAGCGAGGTTCATACTGTGAAGCCTACTTGACCACAGGGTCTCACCTTTGGCTTTGAAGTGAGTTCAAGTTATTCTTCGTGTTAGTATTCTTTATCAGTTTCTAATTGGGCAGAAGATGTGTTCACCTCAAAACCAGCAAATTTAGTTATGCTAATTATGTTTAAAAAAGAATTACCTATTTCCATCTTGTCTCTCTAAACTTTCTTGAACTACATATATTGAATCAATCACGATTGACGCATAAACTTTTTTGCAGAATTTTCGCAAGTTCAGCTAAGAGTATGGAGCTGAAAACTGTTAGAGATGCATTTGATCGAGTTGCAAAAAAACAAAAATTATCAACTTCTAGGTACCAACAAGTGATTGATCAGGTTGGCGATGAGATTAAACAAGCAATGACAGACATCCAATCAGTTGATCCTCCCTCCTCTATCGATCATAAATCAGTCATCACAAACCTGAAGCGCAAGCTCGACACAGTTATCCCACAGGAACAGTTGGAGAAATCACAGAAGGAGTTAAATACGAACCTCAGCCAATACCCAAAAATCTTGGGTAAATTTTTTGATACCGATATATCAAAGGCATACAGAAGCGTGGACTTTGACTTGCACATAGTCAATCAAATCATCATAAGCCAGCTTTACCATGAAGGTCTCTTTGATGTAGCTGATATATTGATAAACGAGGCTCAGGAACCTGAGATTATCTCTTTGAGATGCCAATTTGCAGAGATGCATCAGATTCTCAAGGCACTGAGAGCTAGAAATCTGGAACCTGCTCTGAGTTGGGTCTTGGCCAATCGTCAGAAACTTCAGCAGAGCGGGTCAGATCTTGAGTTTGACCTCCGCCGTCTTCAATTCTTGGAGCTTTTTCAGAAAGGAAACCAATCTGATGCAATCAACTTTGCCAAAACTTATCTTTCTCCATTTGCTTCGAATTACAGGAACGAGTTCCTGAAGCTTATGGGTTGCTTGTTGTGGCCAGGGAAGCTGGAAACTTCACCGTACTCCGACTTATTGTTGCCAGCCAAATGGGAGGATTTAATCAAAGAGTTCACCATGCAGTTTTGCAGCTTAATAGGAGTATCGTTCAAGAACCCTTTAGGTTTGACTATAGAGGCTGGAGCTC